GGCACTGTCAGAGTTACAATTGAGTATTCATAATGTTCTATGCCACGAACACTGAAATTCAGATTCTGTAGCATTGTGTTACGCACAAGTACTGGTTGCGAAACGCTATGTTGGATCATTTGTTAAAGCAATCAAAAGTAAAGATACATCATGCATTTCATGATTGCACAAGATTTGTATAATGGATGAATAACAAGTCCGGATGTTCCACGATTGTTGCATTATAAATTGGAATAAATTTAGTAATGAGATCATGGACGAAAACTAGTTATAAATTAACAATAATTACCGGAAAGAAGAAGGCTTGTAGAAGGCTGTCGAAACGGTGTGATGTACATTCTTAGAAAGAAAAGTATAAAATATATAATATAAAATAAAATATATAAATATATTATATATAATATAGTATAAAATATATGATAAATATATAATATACTATAATATAAATATATATAATATAATGTAAAATATATGATGAATATATAAATCTATTATACATAATATAATATATATATAACATAAATATAATATAATATATATATAATAAAAATAATTATATAAAATATAAATTAAAAAGAAAGTATTTAAAGGGGGTATTCTAATGTGATAAGTGCTATTTTGTACTTTGTTGCAAATTTTTTTACAAAAATTTAGTAAATGCTATTAACTGCATGCCAATATGGAAAAAGAAAATATGTTAGTGTTATAATTTGAATTGTTCTGCTTATCAAATAGAAGAAATTCAATTGTTTTTTAATTTGTATGAATTTGATTACAACGACTAGTAAAAAAGGAAGAAAAACATTCACAAGTGAGAAAATGACGGTGTTTTGAAGATAAAATTTCAATTTTTTTAATTTTCTTTTATCTTTGACAAACCATAAAGAAAATAAAAAAAATTATATTTTGGCATTGATTAAAAAAAATTATATTTTGGCATGATTGTGATACATGTGCTGAAGACGTATTCAAAATCTGAGTTTGACGAGTACAGCAGTTTTTAAGATATTATTCAAGGTAATACGGGAAACATAGTTTCGAAAAGCTTTCGAAGTTTTTAAAGTTTTATTTGCATTTTACATAGAGATAATTTTATTTGCCATTAATCTGCCAGCTCGTGTTTTTAAAGTGTTGTGCTTTAACAAAATAAAAAATCAATTTTGGACCTGTTACAGTAAAATAGTAATTACTATTCCAAGTAATCATTATTACGATAAATTTTGTAACTATGTAGAATATTATAGTAGTATACAAGAATGCTTGTAATATTGCAAAAATTTGTAATATTGTATTAAAAAAATTATTATATTATAGAAATTGTAATATTTTAAAAATTTGGTATGAATCATATTACATTTACTACTTATAAATTTTAAATTTAACTGTGCCGAAACAATAAATATCGCAAGCAAATTGAACTGTTAATGAACATGGTTTAGCTCTTAAAAATTTTTTCTTAGTAGGTAATCTCATAATTACGTAATTATAATATGATATAGAATATTAAATTAATTCTGTAAAAAATAAATATACATGTTCCCGTAATATAATTTTTCGTTTTCTGTATCAAATGTACACTTCACAATACAAATAGCATACGTGAGATATTTGATGTTATCATAATTTTCACGCAATGAATTAATCCATTTTATATGTGTATGTAGCTGCATTATAGAATACAACTATAATATTATTAAAAATAGTTGTATCTATGTTTATAAAACATGACTGCGATAAAATGATAGCACATGTTCAAAAAATTATTGAAATTACATGTAAAAACTTACGTTTAATATTTGATATAGTCTTCCTTATGTTGATGGACAATCTTTTGCGTATAAAAGACTGCAACATACACATATATAGTATAAGCAACTGTTAAGTAAAAAAAAAAAAAAGAAAAGAATAGCAAAAAGAAATATGTATTAAACCATTTTATATTATATAATTTTATTTATAATAATCCATTATTATTAGAATAATATTAGATAATTTCATTATGCAAATAATGTAATTGAAATATATCGTAAAAAATTCTGTAAAGAAAAAAAATTAAATCCTCAAGGAATTCGTGAGCCGAGAAAAATTTCGTAACGGATTACGTACGGATTGTACGTCATTGTTATACATATAACGTCCAACATACGTTTTGATAATGATCTATATAATTTTTGAAAAATAGAAATTTAAAACCATTTTTCTCGAATCTGTATTTTCAATTTGTTAATGTTTTCGAACTGCTTCAAATTTTTTTCGTATATATGTACATACATACCTCTTGCTAGCTTTGCCCAAAATAATTTTCTATATTCTACAATAGTGAGATCAGCAGATTCGGTCGCTTCAAAATATTCATTAAAATTATCATTACTTATTTCATAATTTTAGCACATTATGTAAATAATTTTATAATAATATAATTTATATATAATTATATTATTGTAAATATATAGTATTATTTAACATAACTTTATATAATATAATATACATCATTTTAATTACAAATAAAATAATATAGTGTATTATAATAATTCATACAATATATTATAATAATATTTCAGTCTATAATTTTTCAACTAACCTAATTATTTACATATTCGCGATGTTGTTAAAAGATAAAATTTTTACCGACAATATTTATCGTAGTTGCGAATTAGTTTAATAAACTGTTCGTCCAAGTAATCAACACAGCTTGCCATTTAATTTTTTGTTTACAAATTTTACATCTGTTGTACCGTGGTATCCAACACAGCTCCAAATCGAAATTCCACCTCCTCTCAGCTGTCCACAGTTTAACACTTTTTCTTCTTTTCTGAAAATAAGCCGCCCATTAAGATTATATTTCTTTTCATTCGAGAGAATGACTTTTCGCCAATGAACGTCACCACAAGCAAACTGCAAATTATCTTATACTTAACAATTAGTACCGTGGTTTTCTCCTTGATTTCCGTCGTTTCAAGTTTGGACTGAGTGTTTTATAATACACTACGTGCATTAACATCTGTTAATTCAGTTATTCGCTTTGCTATTGATGACAAATTCGAGACGTTTCTTAAAATCAGAAATCAGCCTCAGATACTCTTTTTATCTCTTACATAACTTTCAGTATTCTTTGATAGATTATAAATAACTTTACGACTCCGCTTCAAAATACGCGAAATGTTTGATATATTATACTCTCCTCCTCTTGAAGTTAAAATAAATACCTCGCCTTAACGTTCTCTATAGCACACAAGAAGAAATAGACACGGAATGTTGTGTCATTCGTTCTGAATAACTTTACGACAAAAGTGGACGAAAGTATTCGCATACTCGATGAAAAATTTTATGTTTCTATTTTGAACCGTTATAGCTTCATAAAAAAAAGAGTCGCGTAACGAGCCAGTTGGCCTCATTTTAAAGCGTAAAGCATCCAATTTTACTGCTCTGCGTTAGTTTTCTTCGATAATGTTTTTCCATCGGGCAGCAAATGGGAAAGCAAGAATACCTTCATTCTCAAAAATTTTAAAAATTCAAACGTTCGTGAAAACGTTAAAAAAATATTTTTTCATCAAATCTACCACCGTCAAATCTCCTCTTTAAAACAACCTCTTCAAACGTGCTGCACGATATTTTTATTGCCATTTTATCGAACTTTGGACATTAACAACTTAATGTTAGAATTTTTTGAATCTGAGTTCAACTGTAGTATTTAATAAAATGGCAAAGAAAAATTGTTTAGCAAGTTTTAAGGGGTTGATGTAAAGGGAAGACCATAATCTTCAAGATTATGGTAGATAGCGATCATGAAAAAAAAATTGTTTCAGCGAATACAATGAATCCCATTAATATTCGGGCATTAACTTGACATTGAAACTGTTACAATTTTTTGTAAAAAAAGAATCGCACAGTAGTAAACTTGGGCTCGTTTTACACTTTATGCCTTTTAAAATATATTGTTCGTTTTATTTTAGAATGTTTTTACACTGTGTATGGCAAAGTGAAGTAATTTGTAAAATTTTCCTCTCGAAAATGTTATAAATTATCTTCTTCTTCTTCTTCTTCGTCATTTCTTTTTCTTTTTGCATCAACAGCGAGGTCATTAGCAACGGTGGTATTGAATATGTGTATAGTAGTTTGTCTTTTTGAGATATTTTGAAGCTTTAAGAAGTCAGGTTTATGTTTGAGTTAATTCCGTGTCTCTGTCTTTGGGTTTCTGTGGTGTGGCATTCGTGCAGAATGTGAGTAACTATTAATGGGTAGTTACTGCAATAGCTGCAAGTGGGAGGTGTAGTTCTTTTAATTTTGTGTTCGTGAGCCAGCGTGGTATGACCAATTCTGGCGTGTGATACTTATTCCTTCTTTTCAGTTGCTAATGTGTGTTTGGTGCTTGTTGGTGAAATTCTCGGATGCTTTTGTGTTAGTTGAGTGCTTTTAGTTGTGATCCATGTATTGTTCCATTCATTTTTTATTACTTTTTTACAGCGGGTCTTATTTGGTCTTCACAGGAATGGAAGGTGGTTGTAATTGTAAGTAAGCGAGGAAAATGTGGCTTCTTTCGCTGCTGCGTCGACTTTTTCATTTCCTTCTATTCCTTGATGACCTGGAATCCAGATGACTGTACCTTTTGCGTTAGGTTGTGGTTTAGTTCTTGAATGGTGATTATCAATTGGTCATTTTGGTCGTATGATTTTGTTAAGAATTGTTGTGATTTGTATCGCTTATGGAGTCGGTGTGTATGACGACCTGGGCTTCGTTATTTGAGCATGCATATTGTAAGGCATATTGTTTCGGCTGTGAAGAGGAGAGATTTTGTGTTTCTTTGGCTTTTTCTATACTGATGGCGTATCCACCAGTGTCCGTTTCTGACCCGTCACTCTTGCTGTCGTGGTCGTAGCTGTTGTTTAATTCTAGGAACCGGGCTCTGTGGTTAGTTAGATTGAGGATTTTTTTGGGGGAATTCGGCAAGACTGGTGTATGTTAAGAATGCTTTTATTGTCCTCGGCGGAATTTGTGGTTCGATGGATTCTGAAAGTGGTGGATTGAAGGATTTTGTTAAGTCTGATATGAAAAGGGGAGATAATTTTGGGTTTATTGATGTAGAGAACTTTGTAGAAGATATTGTTGTAGGATTATTTGGAGTGAATGAGACTTTTATTGCGTATTTAAGAATTAGAAACTTTCTTTTGGTTTCAAGGGCGTTATGAATTATCATAGTGTGTAAGAACATTGAGCAATTTTTTTCATCATTGAATCTGCAATAGATTTGATGATTAAAATCTCTTTTGTAGAACGATTTCTCAAAAAAATCTCTTTTGTCGAACGATTTCTAAAAAAAAAAAAGAAAAAACTTGCTGTAATATCTTTTTTCGTCAACTTTGAATAGTTAGACGAAAACGAATGGAACGAAAATATTACAATTTCTTGAATTTTATACTATACACTAACATTATTATTCTTTTACGCTAATATTTAAAGTTTAATAGAATGACGAAAAAAAAAATCATATATCAAGTTTCCAGGGTTCATTATAAAGAAGAGGCTTCAATTTTCAAAGCCATAATAGATTTAGTTATGAAAAAATTTTTTCAATGTTTTTACATATTACGAGAATTTATAAACATCTTCGAGAAGACAAGTATCTTCACTTATCTACTTTCCTGTTATTTAAAACAAAAAACACATATTTTAGAGGCTTCAAACTTTAAAACGAGCTCATTGCCCGATTTCTTCTTACAAATTACAACAATTTCAATATTTAAATAGTCTGAATATTAATTCACTGTAATTCGTGGAAGAGAATATTCCTCAAACTCTGTACACATGTCGAAACGACAAAAAATCGCAAAGATCGTTCTTGAAGAGAAAAGCATAGTTTCATTACATATACTATGTACGAGTGTATGTAAAAATCACAGTTATTTAAAGAGGTGCTATCTTTTTATCGCAGAGTGTAGATAAATATAATATCACATAGTAAAATCCTGTAATCTTAAATAATTAAATACAATTACATAGTAAAATCTTCGAACTATATCAAGAATTAAGAAATAGTTAAAAATTTAAAATATATATATTAAATATAATCTTAATTAAATATAATATAAATATAAAAATATAATAATATAATATAATATAAATTAAGTATAAATATAAATATAATATAATATAATATAAATTAAGTATAAATATAAATATAATATAATATAATATAAATTAAGTATAAATATAAATATAATATAATATAATATAAATTAAGTATAAATATAAATATAATATAATATAATATAAATTAAGTATAAATATAAATATAATATAATATAAATATAAATATAATTCATGTAAATTGTAAAGATTATTGTATTCGTCGCTTTTACGTGCAATGTATGTCTCGAGTTACTTCGATATCTAGAGTTACAGGGTTTGATTAAATAATCATGTGCGTCTTACGGTTGTCACCTATTTAAGGTATTCCTGCTCATATCACGGATCATTGGTCGTTTACTACAGATTTTAATTGAACAGCTGATCAACCGTGCCAAGTGATCCGTAATATGAGCACGGGTATTTACCTTTAAATAGGTGACAAGTACAAGGCATACATTAGTATCGATGGAACCTTAGAACGGTGATAAAGTTAAATGCAGTATTAATACAAAAAGAGAGATATTTTTTTTAAAAATGATACAAATTGAACATCTAGTAATCTGAACTGAGTTAGAAGAAACTTGATATGATAGTTAGAAGTATTATAAATGAAAGATATTGTATAATCACGTAATTTAATTCAATTAAAATCCTAAAGTATTAATTCTTTTGACAGAGTTTAGTTTATTGATACTAAAGAGAAAACAGAAAATATACGTTTATTTAATTACAGTAGCATAACATAATTTAACGTAATTAATAAACTGTAAATAAGTATGTTTGATCATACATGAATATGTTATACGCTTTAGACGATTATTCGAGCATGATTAACTTACAAAGAGAACGCGATCGGTAAATAAGATCAATTGCCATTACTGTCTATATTAATTTTTTACCAACATCTGTTATTTAATAATTTTTGTTTCGTTCACTTATATTAACACTGAAATATGAAATGTTATATCAACGTCTGAATATTTTAGTTTGTTGAAAAGATTCACATCAGACAAAATAAATACGAATGATATAAAATTTTTGGAAGTTCTTTAGTATTATAGTATGTCGACTTCGTTTCTGCTATTTTATAAAACTATTTCTTTCCTGCTTGTTTTAAAGTATTAAAAATATAGTTATTTTCCACGATGATGTGGAATTGTGAACATTCCTCAGAAGTGTGTTTGTTTTAAAAATAATAAATTCAAAACTTACTGAAACGCTGACAAGAAATTCCAAGTAATGAAATAAAAATGAAATGATAAAAGTTATACTTATAAGGAAACCAAATTATTTCACGTTTGTAAAAATCACGTTTGGGATCAACCTAAATAGTGAATGTTACTACGATTTTGAATATACTTCAGTCGAAATCTGATCATTCGTAGTGAGGCTCGATATTACTATCGATAGATTATGGGATTCTTCTCGGTAGAATCGGTCGTAGGATCATTCGTCAATCCGAATCGTTCAGGTGTCTATCGATTTAGAAGTTATTTCAAGCGAGTTCCCTCGATTTTGGAATTATTCCAAATGGAGTACCTCCGTCTTGGGATTATGTCAAGTGGTATACACCAGTCTCAAGAACATCCTAGATAGGATCTATCGATTTTGGAGTCAGCCCAAGACGGGATGTAAATCCTTGGAATCGCTCTTTAATGGAACAAATCATTTTCAGAACCATTTTAAATAGGATTCATGGATCTTGCTATCCATCGAGCTCTAGGGACGATCACCCATGGATTTATCCAAAGTGGAATCTACTGATTTCGTAATGACGTTCATAGCTGGAGTGGAAATTGACTCAATGATTAGAGTCCCTTGACCTCAGTGTATCTTTAATCCCTTGCGTTCGCAACTGGTTCGCGGACCATAACGAGTGACCGTATACAATAATTCGTCGCTTTCTTTTTCTTCTGAACTCATCCGAACATCACTGGATAGAAATTATTAAGAAGTAATAAACTTGTCATTTGTTTTGCTTGGGTTATATTTAAATATTGAAACTGAGAAAATGTTGCAAAATAGGAAAAAAAATTCTCGACATGCGTGGCACGTCATTTCAGCGCAAGAGGTTAACTACGTACCTTGTATCGGGAATCTCGCGTTATGGGATTATTATAGGATTTGATAAATCGAAATGGCATTACATTAAAGGATACGAATAGTAGTTCAGTATACGAATTACCTCTGTTGTAAGCTTGGTATGTTGAATGACGAAATCGACTCATTCGCTTTATGCAGTTAATGATCAGTTAATAATTTTCTCTAAAGCATTTAAAAATTGGGAATTTCTTTTTTTCTGAATAATTTACAAATGAAGCTTTTCGACTTTCTCGTACAATATTAATGTATGAAAACGGTAGCATAATTGTATCAATGAGAATGGAAAATTGCCGATAAATTTTTACTTTGACAATCGTGAGTTCGTTCTTTTCGAATATAATTTTACATCATGTAACAGGTAAGAAAAAAGGGATATTCCTTTTTCTCCTGAAAATTATAAAAATTGAAACGTGTGTAGAAATATTAAAAAATTTCACCATCATTTTGAAAATTGAAGTTTTCTCTTTGCAACGATCTCCTAAAACTTGCTGTACAATTTTTCACTTTATTAAAATCTGAATGTCAGAGTTGAACGATAAAAATTCAAGAAATTCTAATTTAAAGGGTCGAGTGAATTTCAAGAGATCGTTGTAAAGTGAAGATTAAATCTTCGATTTAATCATTTCTGACATTAATCAAAGATCAAACGACACTTTTTAAAATTTTAATTTATACATTCAATCACTTTTCCTCGTTTAACTTTTCTTGTAATGATTATAAAATTAATTTAGCGATATTTATTTCTCTCCTGATACACGCATAGTGTACTATGTGGGATAAAGCATAAATATTTTAAAATATTGTCTACTTTAAAATTATACCATATATAGATCTCATATATAGGTCTCAACAAAGTCTCGATTCTAAATCAAATTTTTACTTTTTTTTCAAGTATTTATTTCACAGTGAGTTTCATTACAAATAATATAATTTGTATTAAAATTTTCAAAATGCAGTTTCAGCTGAGTAACGACAAAAAACTTATAACACTTGTAATTAATTTTTTTAATTTTTTTAATTATTTTATTTGGAAATATAATTAATGAAATTTTTTAGTATTTTTTTTTCATAACCTACAGAAAAAGAAAATAAAAAAGATTGAAAATGAACAAGTTATGACTTTTTCAAATCCTTCAATTTTTCAGTGGCTACCCTACTATAATATTCGCGGCTCGCGGGTAGCAAAGGCACAGAATTCAGTAAAGAATACACAAGCAAACGTACAGTCCATTTTTACGATATCCTCAGAATCATCACATTGCATAGTAAAATATCATTTATTATGTTATAAAATACTACAGAGTGGCTCTTCAAATGCTGATAAAAATCAGAAGAGACACAAAATATACTTTTACTTATTATTATAAATTTAAAAAGAAATTTTCAATTTCATTACATTTTTATCTATAAATAATAATATCATTTTAAAATGACATTTAAAATAAAATTTATTATTAAGATAAACTTTGATTATTTATTATTATAAAATTTCGTCAATTTGTGTATCAATTAATTATATTTAATTGTATAACACGTTTAAATTTAAATAAATTTATATTTTGAAATAAAATTTTAAATTTAATATTTATTTTGTTTGATGTAAGTAAATAATTGTTTATAAACTACAATTTTTATCTGGCAGCACTTCTCAGTAGTTTTGTAACTATGTTACAATTTGTTTTTTGTTTTTTTAGAAATTGACGGGCAATTTCAGTTAATACTATATTCGACTAAAATAATTTATCGGAATAGTTACGGAAATGTTACGGAAATGTCTGTCACATCGAGAAGTATAGTTTTGAGGAAAACGTAAAGTGAAGTTTTATGATGACATCTTTCTTCCTGATGAAGAACGATTTTAAAATCTTATTTTCTCAGCTATTCGCGATCC